TTGAGTTTATTCAGACCAGATAAATATTGTCTTCAATGTCCGAGTCTCTAACGTAAATTACAAGTTATTTGAGGAAGCATTTTAGAGAAATTTTTTCTTAATGTTGCAAAAATGAACAACAGCAAAGTTTTTTGTGAAAGCGAGAAAACAAAAAATAGTAAGAAAGTCGTATTGCAAGGTGAACTTGATGGTCTACGATATATCTATATATACATATGCATTTACAATATCATTTTGAACTTTCATTCACTCTATAAAAAGTATCTATGGTTGATTTTCAACTAAATTTTTATGAAAATTTCATTGTTTTTAAGATTTTCTTTCAATTGAATTTTTGTTTTCCAAGGTTTTGATTAGATTGATTCGTATTCTAGACATTGATTTTGAATAAACAATTTTTATAATAATCTTCGAAGAAAAGGAAATATTCTTCTCTAAGATATATTTTCTAATAAATCTTTCTTATCAGCAATGCTACAAATATTGAAATTGAAAATAATATTCATCTAGTTGTAATAGAAGAAATATTGAATTTTGAATGTTTTAGACTACTTTAAAGAGGCAAGAAGAAGAAGAAACAATTTACTACGGAGGTCAAAATGTTTTGGTCTATGCGTGGTCGAATGAAACTAAGGTGGAAAAACCGTCAATTGATGCTTTCTTTTCAAGCTCCTAGGTTACTGATTGATAAGATCTATTGTAGAGATAAAAGTCCTACGAAGATATGTGCCATTAAATCGTTTATTTGGAGTTATGATTATTTTACTGTAGTTTTAGTCAATCACAGAATCGAATGAAAGATATGCAAGCCAAAGGTAAGAGTTACTAGAAATAGATTTAAGAATCTTTGCAATATCCAGCAAGCTAAATCAAAATCGATAGATTGTTCTTAAGAAATTGAAAGAGAAGAAACACTCATGTCGGATTAGAGTTTCAGGATATTATAAGAAACATAGCATTTCTATTTTGGTAAAATTCCTTGATTCACTTACATTTTAAAGCTTTTATCTTCAAAATTGGTCTTATCAATGAATCTATCTGACACACAGTCACAAATATACATTAGCTTTGAAAATCGAAATCTTAAACATTTGAATCCTATGACTAAATTATCAATGCATTAATGAATATAGCTCTATTCATATAGACAGACTATTTAAACAATATGAAAAAGGATAACAAGCTTTTCTATCAAATACTTAAAGAGAAAGAAAATAACAGACATTATAACCCTTCATTTCTCTCCGTTGTCAAAAACAAGCGACATAACTTTCGTATAAGATTATATTTCTGATCGGTTTTGTTTTGATCGAATATGTAAATGATAGATGGTTACTCTTATGATCTCTATTCAATATGTTAATTAGAAATAAGATTGATTCAGATTGTTCAAAATTTAAATTGAGTCAATGCCATCTCTGGTAGAAGCTATCCTCTTCAACAATTGTTAGATACATTTCAAGTTCCACTAGAACAGAAAATACAATTATTGTGTTTAAAACCTAGAAAAACTGGTCTGACTTAGTTGTAAAATGCTATCAAGAAGAAGTGTTGAAGTATAGAAGTACAAATTTGAGTCTCTTCTAGATCTTGAAAAGCATTTTAGCAACACTTCCTCTTGTATTGACGATAGTGACAGGCGTTGTCAATATAACATCACAGATTGATGTCTCATTAAAATATATAAACTACTTTCTTATTATATTTCAAGGAGAAGTAAGTAAAAGGATGGTAAAGAAATGTGTCTGAAAATAAATAGAATAATGCAATATCCTGTGATTAGCAAGAGCAGTCATATCATGTTTTACATTTTAATCGAGAAGAGATTGCCCTAACAAGTTTTTTTTTCTTCTTTAAATCATTCATATTGATGATTATAATCAGAGATGGGCAGCTCCGGCCTTTCCTCGCTCCAGCTCAGCTCTAGCTCCAAACATTTTCTTGCCGCTCCGCTTCGACTCCGCTCCAACCAGAGTATCTTCCGCTCCAGCTCAGCTCCAGCTCCAGACACTCGCTCGGTCGCTCCACTCCAGCTCCGCTCCAACAGAAATAAAAAGTCATTGTTTCATTAGAAAACTTTGGTTTTTTTGCCTCCTTCAGTGACCACTTTTTGTATTCATTAATAACACTCAGTTTCCGTTGTAAAAGATGCAAATGGAAGAGGAAAAGGCACAATTCGTAATATCTATCTGACATTTTGTCGCTCCAACTCAGCTTCAGCTCCGAGCATCCGCTCAGTCGCTCCGCTCCGACTCCGCTCCAATGGAAAAATTCATACTAACGCTCCGCTCCAGCTCCGCTCCGGGAGCGGAGCTAGCTCCGTGGAGCGGTCGCTCCGGAGTCGGAGCTGCCCATCTCTGATTATAATCTTGTTTAAATTTTTTTTTTTTTTTTTATCACCAAAAACACTTAATATTACTATTATTATTCAACCCAAATCATTTTTTTTAATATTTGGTTGCTTCATAAACTCATAAAATTGATAAGAACAAAAAAAAGCGAAAAGAAATTGTTATCTAGCAATTATAAATTTTCTTTGTTCTCAAAATAACTTCTAAAAAAAGAAAAAAAAGGTCTTTTACAGAATAATATCAAATTTTCTTCTTTCACATGGCAAACATCAATAATTCATCTCGTTTAAATCATTTATCATACAATATAAATGCATCTAACAAAGCTATTTATCGTATTCAATCACAAACAAATGAAGAACGTTCTAAATTTATAATAGATACATTTATAGATTGTTTCAAAGATGGAATACGCGATAATCCAGATGCATTTCGTACTCGATTTCGTAAAATGGCTGCTACACCATTTAATTTCTATCGTGGTTCCGCAATACTGTTTTATCAAGATTTAAAAATTGATAAGGATCCATTTATATTAAAAAATAATGCTGCTGGACAAATATTTATTCATGTAAATATTTTAAAAAAATTAACTATAAAAAAAGTTAAAAGATAAATATTGTTTATTGTAGGGTGATTTACATGCTGAAAATTTTGGTACATATTTAAATAATAATGGTATTCTAAATTTTGATGTTAATGATTTTGATGAAAGTTATATTGGTCCATTTACATGGGATATTAAACGTTTATGTGCTTCAATCAATTTAATATGTTATTCAAAAGGTTTTTCTGATGATGATATTGAAAGAATTTTAACTGTTTGTATTGAAGAATATTTAAAACAGATTTATAATTTTTGTAAACAACCAAAAGATAATTTTGCTTTAACATTAAAAAATACTTCAGGAAAAATAAATAAATTACTAAATGAAACACGTATTAAATCACATGTTGAACATTTAAATAAAATGACATTTATTGAAAATTATAATAGAAAGTTTATTCGGTCAAAATATATTCTTAACGTTGATAATATTTTACATGAACAATTAATAAAGGCATTTCAACAATATTTAGAAACAATTCCAGATAATAAAAAATATTGGAATCAAAATTTTGAGAATAAAGAATTAACATATAAGATTAAAGATATTGTTCAATGTTTCACACCTGGTATTGGTTCAGCTGGAAAAATTTCTTATTCATTTTTAATTGAAGGTCAAACTGAAACATTAGAAAATGATATTATTCTTTATATGAAACCAGCACAAAAATCAGCTGTTTCATATGTTGTTAAAAATGAAAATTTTGAAAAATATTTTCAACATGATGGTTTAAGAACTGTTTTATGTTCATATGCAATGCAAGCATCAACACCAAGATGGTTAGGCTATACAACATTGAATTCTACACCATGCATAGTTGATGCTGTAACAGCCCATTCTAAAGATCTTGATTGGTCGGATATAAATGACTTTGATGATGTGATTGAAGTTGTTCAATACTTAGGAAGAGCAATGGGTAGAATTTATTCTTTGAATATAATAGTTTAGAAATTTAATTGTATATTGTTTGTTTTTTCTTTCAAAGCAAAAATTCATTGTGTAGCTGATTCAGATTGTGTTAATACTCCGAAAGATATAGCTTGTTTGCCATTCTCAATCATTCCACAAGATACAGAACAAACAATTCGGAATGCTATTGATAGACGAGATAATGAATTTATCCAAGATATGATTGAATTTGGAATGGTAATGACAATTGTATTTGAATAGTTATTTGATTATTTTATTTAGATCTATGGCAAGTTAGTACGTCGTGATCATCATCTTTTTTTTGAAGCATTCAGAAATAAGCAAATTCCAGGTCTTTGATTTACACACAAAAGAAAAAGAAAATAACTAATTTAAACTACTTTTTTTGTGTTTATGAATATTAAATAGAAAACATAATGTATTTCTTTTTTGTATTGAATAATTGAGTAATACACAATATGCTGTCAATATTTAACTATAGACGTCGAGGCACTAGTTTATTATTTTTCACTTCTGAAGCATAGAAATAAGTTCTTAATTTTCTTTCTTTTTATTTATCTGCTGAAGCATGTTAAAAAAAAGCATCAACATACATGGTAAATTATTTCAAAATAAATTTTGAAGTTTTTCTAGTTTTTTCTTCATTAATTTATGAGTCTTAATGCCGTAATTTTCCACATGATTGAAGTACGATCGATTCCGGCCGGAAATTCAGAGCTCCGACTGTCGAAATCATTGAACTTGGTCATTTTGAAAAATTTTATATGAAACATATGGTGATGATGTTTTATTTCATGATTTTCTCGTTGATGTAGAAAATAGTGATTTATTATTTTATGAGATCATCATTATTCAAATTTCTATTTACAATTTGATTTCATACTGATATTGATTATTATTTTCTTTTCTTTGATTTCTAAAATTTATATCTACTAATCATCATATTTTAATAAAATTAAAAAAGGCAAAAAGAAAAAAATTCGAATTTTCTTTTTCGTTAAAATCAATTTTCTCTTGAATCAACTATTCTATTCGTACCTAATAATGTTCTAAAATCATTGAATCTAGTTAGAATAGTGTCTTGTATTCTGTTCTCTCTCTCTCTCTCTTTCTCTTTCTCTCTTTTTTTCCTATTTTGCATGATGTTAGCTCATTCAATACTTCGGTTCAAACATAAAATATGTAACCATCATTTCTCATACGTCTTCATGAAATCGTTCTTTTCTTTTTCTCTCATGGGAAAAAAAGCAGAAGAAGATAGCGGTTTTTTTTCTTTCTTTTTCACTTCATCAACGTTATTCATATTCAAACTTGTTACAAAATAAAAACAAA